CTGACCTGCTAAAAATGACAGATTTTCTTTTCTGGATCTCTGACAGACGGACTTCAATCTCTGAACTTGTAAAGTTCTTCTTTTTAATTTTCGCTGTCATTTTTTTATGAATGGACACTTCCTTGTATCTGAGGCAGGAAACAGCCTTATATGGTGTTTTTGGGGTGGTAATTATGCTAATCACCTCTCGCGTGCAAGAGCAGCTGGATACGGACAGGTGGAATTTACGCAGCTCATTTACACACTTTTCCTGAAGATAGAAGAGTTTGTTGAATCTGACGTGACATGTTCATACGAACCCTTCGTACGAACAAAAGTAAGAGAAATTTAGGATAAGAATACGAACATGTTCTTGCATGAGGCCCAATGTTCTGCATTTGACCCATCACACAAGAGATTCAACCACTGAGTTAAATATCACTAGAGCAAGCCCCACCACCCGTCCACTGTTATGCTAGGTTCAGAATGAATGCGTTTTGAGCGTCAGGTTTATGTGCTAAGTAGCATGTTGCTACCCAAAGCACGAGCCTGCTGCACTACGGCCACAGCTCAGCATCAGCCAAGAAGGCTACACACAGAAAAAATAATTATTCTTACCGTACAGTGAGCCACCATTTGCAGCCAGTTTTGTTCCCTCTCTTCAGCCTTTTTTTATTCTATTATTTATTTTATGCCGCACGTAATGTGTCGGGTTTTTCCGGCCCAGGACCCAAAAGGTTTTCAACTGTGTGACAAAAATATAAAACCAGTTTACAGACTGGACTGAGGTTCTTTTGATCATTTTTAGACTGATCTATTTTCTTGTCTGAGGTTAAATGATTTTCAGTCCCAGGGTTCAGTTTCATGATCATTCAAGTTTAAACAATAAAAACTCAAACTAAAATAAAAATCTGACACCGTGTTCAGATGCTCCTTACATCCAGAAAACAGAACAGAGTCATATTTCTGTGAATTCAGGTCAGATTCGTGACTTTGTGGGTTAAAACTGTCGACTGAAAAACTTTGTGTGGCTGCCGCACATTCTCACGGCAGGTGAAAAGTGTGCGTCAATATACGCACACTTTTCACACAACGTTGGTTTTGATTAGGGCTGCACCAATTAATCGATTAATTGACAACTAATCTATTATTAAAATAATCGATGACTAATTTAATAATCGATTAATCGTTTTCTTTTTTTGTTCTTTTCTTTTTTTTTCTCTACAAACTGTTTTGACACCTTCCACTGCTACATCTGCCTTTCTGTCCTTGACACACATGCACAGTAGTGGTAATTGGGGTAGGCCGTGGACGTCACAAGTAGGGCTGCACCGATTAGTTGAAATAATTGATGACATTGATTATGTAAATTTGTCGACGCAGATTTTTTATTATAGATTCGCTGTATTACATAACCATCACATGAATGTTCATGCAATTCCAT